TGAATCACACCATTGCTTTTTGCATATGTTTATGTGAACGTACATTAGGCCTTGTTTGGTATTAGGTTTGAATATTAAGAACTGGGTAGGTATTGTAGTTTTGCAAGCATCTAGTAAATTTTGTTGGTAGCATTAGTATATAGTTTGCATACTTGTAATGAATTGATCACTTGTGGCATCTTAATTTTGATTGCAGCTCAGATACAAAAGGAAAACAATTGTGTGTTGGGCCTTATGCCCATTGCAGCAGTTCTCAGTGAAAAAATGGGGCAACCAAATACCTGGGAGTAAATAAAACAATAGCAACAAAAAACAAAGCCACCCTTACCTGCTTTACTTAATCCTGCCACTGGGTGTCACTGCTTTTCTTTAAAAATTTAGTTTACCAAATATTTTCAATCTGTGTCAAAAGTACCACTCTGCTTCTGGAGCCCCATTTGTAGTCTGAGAAAGCAGGGCAATATTTTTGGCTATGTTTTCAAGAGATGAAGGAGATAAGAAATGCTAAAAAAAATCAGCCCCTGGAAAGGGCTTACCTTAATGAGTGGTGGTGGCAGTAACATTTTGTGTGTGCGTGTGTGCACTCTCTTTCTGTTAACTTACAGTGGTAAGCATTGGTAGAACTCAAATCCGTGGTCCTGCAGGCTGCTCCCTGCCCCCAATTCCACAGGACGATATTTGCATCACACTGTGGCATAATTTAACTTTACAGTGGAGGTTGCCATATTTCTCCCATACAGTGGTGCATGGTGTCCACTGGGTTTGGGAAGCTTGCTAGGGAGCCATGGGGATGTGGCCAGTAGTCACATGGGTGTGGCCAATTGTGATTTTCTCCCTATCCTCCCTGTTTGCAAAGATGCTGTGGACACATAAGTACAGTGGTACCTCAGGTTAAGTACTTAATTCGTTCTGGAGGTCCGTACTTAACCTGAAACTGTTCTTAACTTGAAGCACCACTTTAGCTAATGGGGCCTCCTGCTGCTGCCACACCGCTGGAGCCCGATTTCTGTTCTCATCCTGAAGCAAAGTTCTTAACCTGAAGCACTATTTCTGGGTTAGTGGAGTCTTTAACCTGAAGCGTATGTAACCTGAAGCGTATGTAACCTGAAGTACCACTGTACTGCAGTTATACAAATACTCAGCACATAACTAAACTGAAAAATGCCTTACAGGGTCCCCTGTTGTTCTTTGTTGGAAGGAAAGTTGTGTGGCCTCCACCTGTTCTGATACCCTTCTCCTTTGCAATGGACCAATGGGACACTTCATACAACATTGCAGCTGTATACATTAGGGTTGCCATATTTCAAAAAGTAAAAACCAGGACACCAAAATTGTTGAGCTTCTTTTAGAAAAAGCCGAAAGTTGTTGAGCTTACACTCCTAAGTGTTTTTACAAAAACACTCCTAGGCCTGGCTGCCTAAGTATGCTCTTCAAGGAAACAGCTCAGAGCATGCTCAGAACATATGCTTCCAGTTTAATTGACTCCCCACCCCCACCCCAGCTTTTTTTAGAATCAAAGTTAAGCAGAGCATGTGTATACAGTGGTACCTCTGGATACGAACGGGATCTGTTCCAGAGCCCCGTTCGCATCCAGAGCAGAACGCAACCTGCGTCTGCACGTGTGTGGGTCACGATTCACCACTTCTGCGCGTGATGTCATTTTCACCATCTGTGCATGTGCAAGCGGTGAAACCTGGAAGTAACGTGTTCCATTACTTCTGAGTCGCCGCGGAGCGCAACCCGAAAACGCTCAACCTGAAGCAACTTCAACCCGAGGTATGACTGTATATGCATGCGTGCGTAACACAGAGGTTCCTGTAACGTGACACAGTTTCAGTCTCATTAGTACCGAACTTCTATGAGAAATGCTTTTGAGAATAGAATATCAATCTCAAGAACTGAAGTAATTTATTTAGCAACAGCCCACTTGTAGCATCCACTTCAGTTTATCCCTAGAAAGGTGAAGGCTCGGATTATAGAGAACTGGGAATCCAACCAGTGCTCTGCAGCAGTTATGCTGGCACTTTATACTGGTATGAGCTAATGCACCATCATACTTCAGTGACCACCAGCTTTTGTATATGAGCTGCTTAAATGTTTTAGAAGCTTGGAATCCAAAACATGGGGTAGGGTGGGGTGGCTGGAAGACAAGTCAAAAGTGCATCCTATTGATTTAAGTGGATGCGGGTGGCACTGTGGGTAAAACCTCAGCGCCTAGGACTTGCCGATCGCATGGTCGGCGGTTCGAATCCCCTCGGCGGGGTGAGCTCCCATCTTTCGGTCCCAGCTCCTGCCCACCTAGCAGTTCGAAAGCACCCTTAAGTGCAAGTAGATAAATAGGTACCGCTTTCTAGCGGGAAGGTAAACAGCGTTTCCGTGTGCTGCGCTGGTGCTGGCTTGCCAGAGCAGCTTCGTCACGCTGGCCACGTGACCTGGAAGTGTCTTCGGACGGCGCCGGCTCACGGCCTCTAGAGCGAGATGAGCACGCAACCCTAGAGTCGGTCACGACTGGCCCGTACGGGCAGGGGTACCTTTACCTTTATTGATTTAAGTGAGTAAGATTTGCAGTTGCTCCAGAACATGTGTCATCTTCACATGCAGAAGCATTGGAGTGCCTTCCCTGTGCTATAATCCCACACTGTTCCTGCAACAGGAACATTGCCTTCTCTCTCTGCTAGACAACATGTGTGTCAGTAGTATCCCCACCCTGCCTGATGAAGCTGTGTAGACTCACATGTTGGGAAAGCCGCTCTCACGCCACTGTAGGCACATGTGAATTGGCTAAGTGAGAGTCTGGGAAGGAGCCCAGGAGACCCTTGATCGAGACACAACAGGTGATAATGGAGAGCTGGAGCTTACTCTAAACCTAGTGAATTAAAATCACATCACTAGGGCTAAGACTAACTCTGTAAATACTCAATTGCCAACCTTTCCATGTTCTCAGAAAATGTGCTGGCTGATGAAGTGAAACTCTCCTCATTCTAAGCTAGAGTAGCATACTCATTATCAATAGCAGGAGAGTTCTGAAGTACCTTATCTGTAGGGGACTGAATAAAGCTAACCCTACAGGACCAGGGATGTAAGCATCACCAGGACATTGATTAATGGGCTGGTAGACACAAACGGGTTATGGAGAAGAGATGACCTGGATCCCTCAGAGAGTTTAGGGTTACCAAAAACACATTGTTTTCTGGTATTCAAAATTTGGAAACAAAAAACAAAACAGTTCATGTCCTGATATTGTTAGTCCCAAAATCAACTCTTCATATTGGAATGTCATCATTAGTACAGAAAATTAAAATAGATATTTTAGATGGTCCTGAAATAATGGTTTTTCATGAATTATTGGATTTCTGCATAAGGCCTGCTTCGTAGGAAAATGGAGTGAAGCATGATCCAGCAGTAAAATCCTATGCCCCCCCCAAAAAAAGAATGAAGATATGAATTCACTTTTTCATTATTTTACTCTGTCATATGCAGAGACAGCATCTTCCCATTATGCTAAGAAAAGGTTTGTCTGAATTTTACCAACAAGATCTTTAAAAATGAAATGAAACATGAAATAAACATTTGTGCTTTTGTTGCTGTTGACTCCTGGGGCACAACATATTAAAGCTGGTTTTAGCATATTAATTAATTAATTTTATTGAATATATATATACTGCCTTATGCCCGGAGATCTCAGGGCGGTTCACAGAATAAAATCAAAATATAAAACCACAATATATATAATCAAAATAAAAACAACCCAATAACACCCCCCCCAAAAAACGAACCACATTTTAAAAGGCATAGGATGTTCCCATTAATTCCTCTTCTGTCCCTAACAACTAAAGCTATGATTTAACTCAAAATTTACATTATTTTTTTGCCACCCTGAATACTCTTTACTCCAGAATCAGCATTCAAAATGACCTTAACAGATTGGAGAACTGGGCGCCAGCTAACAAAATGAATTTCAATAGGGACAAATGTAAGGTTCTGCACTTAGGCAGGAAGAACTAGATGCACAAATATAGGATGGGGGACACCTGGTTTACTAGCAGTATATGTGAAAAGGATCTAGGGGTCTTGGTGAACCACAAGTATAGTGTCCAGATCAAGGGAAGTAAATAGCACCACTCTATTCTGCATTAGTCAGACCACACTTGAAAGTATTTTGTCCAATTCTGGGCACCACAATTTAAGAAGGATGTTGACAAGCTGGAACGTGTGTAGACGAGGGCAACCAAGATGACCAAGGGTCTGGAAACTAAGTCTTATGAGGAGCTCTTGAAGGAGCTGGGTATGTTTAGCCTGGAAAAGAGGAGACTGAGAGGAGATGTGATAGCCATCTTCAAATATCTAAAGGACTGTCACATGGAGGAGGGAGCATGCTTATTTTCTCTGGAGGGTAGGACTTGAACCAATGTCTTCAAGCTGCCCCTTAATTCCATATTGATTGACAGTGTTATGTAGGCGTTCCGTCTTCCTTTGAATTCTGTAACCCATAGACCTGAAAACAGATGTGTGCTCTGCAACCTCCTTTCTCCTAGGATTTGCTTTCCTCTGTCCAGTAAAGCTTAACTGCCTTAAGAACATAAGGAGACCTCTGGATCAGATCAAAGCCTATCTAGTCAAGCATCCTTTTCTCACTCTGCCAGGCAGATGCCTATGGAAGACTTCTTCTGGTATTTGATCTCAACAATTGATTCCCTTGTTGATGTTTGTGGTGGAAGTATCACTACAAAAGAAGTTATTTTCTCCTTTTCTAGTAATCTGGCAAAGAAGTCTTGTGAAGCACCCCCTCCCCCCAAATGTGGTAAAAACACATGACACAGTGTCAAGGAAAGGGCATGTTTCTCCCAACATCTTTTCATGTGCAAATTTTGCCACCTAAGAGCCTTTTCATTTGGCTATGATCACATAAGAGTAAAAACTTTCATAGTGACATTATACCTCAAAAAAGATGGCATGGCATCTGTTCAGGGGAGAGCCAGAATATTTCATTGTTTTTTGTTAAGAGATTTGGGTAGAGTTTTGTGATGCAAAGGAGTAAATGGTTGCTGTAAACCCAGTAGCAGTGTACAAGGAGGTTATGACTACAGACACAGCTTTTTTCATCTCTGCGTGACAAGCTGCCACCTGCTTCTGCATAGCATTAAAGGCAGAGGAATAAGCTCTCTTTTTTGCATCTCGGGAAGACGCTGTGTGGAAACCACTGGCCAACTGTTTGTTTGTTGCACAAAATAACGAATAAAGCATGGTTTGATTCTCTTGAGACAGAGAAGGTTCAACCATTTACAATCAATTTCCATCTCCTGGAACTAATGTTATTTAACTCAGTTTTGACCCCCCCACACCTTTTAAAAAAAATATTGTAGACTAGAGTGGTTGGAACGGGCCTGCATAAGCTGCACCATCAGCCAGACACTTCTTTCTTAGACTATAGTAATAATTACATGTTCACCTCTGTTTTATCACTGAAGTTATGCACAAATAAATATTGCCTGCTAGATATCCTTCAGCTGAAAATGCAGTTTCTTAAGGCCTGGGCAATATTTTTCATGTGTTAATTCTACATAATAAATATGAAACATTAATGATATCAATAGTTCACCTGTTGGGCATTTGAAAAGACACCACTATTCTTAATGGTTTCCTTTTCTACATTCCCAACCCCTACTTACTGAGTTATAAAATGCTATAGCACATTATTCTGACCAGAGCATTTTTGTATAGGGGTACTTGAGCTTTCTTCAATGTAGTGTTAGCTTCAGGTATGGTCAGAGACAAAGAAACATGCCTAATGTAAAGTCGCTCTACCAATATTTGCAATCCATTTGTTACCATATTTGAGTCAGACACATTTTTAAAAATAAAATATTCTCATATTGCCACGTCAAAACTGTCCCTGGTTAACACTATGAAATATATGTTCATTGCAAATTTCATACTAAGAATTAAAGACTAGGAAAACATTTTCTGTGTGATAATTTTGGGTGGTATTAATTTTTGTCATTTTGTATATGCACGAATGGCATTTCCCACCAATCCAGAGAGAGTGCCTTGACATTTTGCATATTGCAGTTATAGAAAGTCAATATTTTCAGAACAGATATTATCTGATACAATGTTGGTGCTCTCTTGGCACTAGATATATTCACTTTTATGGTAATATTATATCTCAAGAAGAATATTGACTCAGAAAATCACATCTCCTGAGTAAAGTGCGTCATATTTAATCAAGCTGAAATCACTGACTCCTGGCTTTCAACAAATGTATGATATTAGTTCACATGAGTAAAATTATGAAGCGGCCTTTCACTTTCTTTCTGCTTCTATTCCTGTAAAACAAAAACAACTTTATACCCTGAAAATCACCTTAAGTGCATTGGTGGTGATTAGGTTCTGCAGTTCTTACCTCTGGAAATAGTTCACAGTGATTTTCTTTCACTATCTCCCCATCCCCCCAAAAGCAAAAATACCCCAGAACATGGATGCTCTTTTTCTAGATTGCTGCAGTGCAACCGCTTTGTAGATACATTCTCTCCCAAGTGGCCAGAGATGGGCAGTGTACAAAGCCAAATCAAGTTATGCAACAGAAGTGGTGAAATTATTTGCCACCTTTTATAAACATGCTCCAGTTTGTTTCTGAAGATGGAGGGGAAAGATCTGTTTTTCATAAAGGAGTAATATGTGGTTGCTAATTATAAAATATTTAGAGGAATTTTTCATTTGGTTATATTTTGCCATGGCATTTGAGGTGGGTCTTATGGATTACAAGTATCCACCATGACAACCTGCAATCTATTCTGAACATTGCATCCGTATTAAAATAAACAAACAAGTGTGTCTCTAAAATGCCATTCAGCAAGGTTATACAAAAGAATCAATTGATTTCCAACCCCCACTGATCCATGGACTTTTCCTAAAAGAGAATATTTCTGGTGTGCTTTTCCTTAGACTGGGCAAGTATCCAGTTTTCACTGCAAGCTTTTTCTAGTTGCTGTGCTGTATTTAAAATGTAGCTTTGCCAGCTTTCTAAATACCCAAAGTGGCAAATTGCATACTGAAACACCACCAAGCACAACGTAGCATTTTTTCAAGATAGAAAAATGACAGATTTAATGCCTCCATTGTCAATCACGTTAATGCCTCTAACACTGTTGCAGAATGAATTTCCAATGAGCACCCAAGCAAATGTGTGCAGGAAGTGGTTTTGCCTTTGTAACTGTACATTTCAGCTCCTCTAATTGCATCAATAAGGAATTTGGTCTCCTCATTTAATGAATGCCTTTTGACTACTTTCTGAAAGGCAACTGACTGTGAGAAGGGAGAAACACTAGCATCTTTTATATGAAACCACATAAACAGGTTTCAATTAGTAGTTATCAACTCTACAAACTATTGTGTTAGAGCACAGTGCAGTGAATCTCATTCTGTTCTACTACCCATCTTTTATTCCTCATGAAAGCTTTTATTCCTCTTCTGAACTTCAAATGATTCCCCTGCCCCTGCCCCCACCCTCAGTAGTTCAGGATGTTGCTTTAAACCCACTTGCTTCTGATAATGCCTTGCATTCAACAGAAATCAAGCATTCGGCCGCAGTTGTTCCTGCACCATCTATAAGCCAAAGCATGTCCTAAAATGTGTATGAGCTTACAACACTTGGCTGCCATGCATCCTTGAATCATGAAGTGAATTTCAGCATTTATTAAAATGCTTGCACTGTTCTTTTTTTAGCATTATTTGTCCACATAAAATCAGCACATATGCAAACAACTCTGCATTTAAAAAACAACGCAGCAACACTGCAGATGTGATTTATGAGCTATGAAATAAGCTTTCCATTGAAATAATAATGATGATGGAATAAAAACCAACAAAGCACCTGTACCAACAGGTACTGTGTCGAACCTGAACTCAAACTTCTGATTTGCATTCTCTTCACTTTCAGTGGATTTATGGAGGAAAGTTTAAAATGATAAAAGGAAAGGAGAAGGCCAACATATGATGAGCATGTGTCAAGATGTGATATAGAAGTGGTTGTGGCAGAAAAGAGAAATGTAACCTTCATCTTAATCACTGAGGTTCAACAAACCCACCTTTTTTAAAAGCTTATTTTATTTGAATCACAATGGTTCATACCTCACATTCCCTGGAGCCTGCTTTGCTATATGTGCAGGGTCCCGTCCCGTTCAGCAGCATCTCACTGGTCTCGGTGTTAGTTGGCTTATAATCGACATAAAATTCCTGTGTGGTTGGAGTCATCTGCTTCAGCGACTGCCGTTTCTTCTTCCTGTGCCTTCGCATGAGAGAGCGCTGCTGCAGCTGCTTCATGCTGGCAGGGTATCGCTTCCACGACACATAGATTACCAGCAGGATCACAAGCACAGACAAGAAAAGGGCCACACTCCCTGCTATGATTTTGTGGAAAGAGATGTGTTCTGTGTCGTGCTCAGGCTCTGAGCTGGCTTCTGTGGACCCGACGGTGGGGGGCAGAGGGGGCTTGCTGTCATGCTTAGGCCTGATGACTTTGGGTTTAAAGGTTGGCTTTGGGAAAGCCTGTGGCAATTCAAACCTCTCTGTAGTACTTTTGCCACATATGCTGTAATTTTTCACTGCATCAATAACGTTCACCCCCTGCAGCTCTTTGGGGCTGGCACAGATAATTGTATTTTCCCTCAGCCCTTTAAAACTTTTTAGCCAGTTTACCAGGGAGCAAATGTTCCTGCTGCATTCCCATATATTCCCAGCAAGGCTGATGTCATTGAGAGATATCCAAGAATCCAAAATCTCTTGACCAATAAACGTGAGCTTGTTGGAATCCAGGTTGAGACGCTGTAAATTGGGCACACACTGGAAAACACTAGGTCCACTGAAAGCTTCTATTTCATTGCCAGATAAATCAAGCCTTTGTAATGAGCTCCAGGTCCAGGACATCGTTTGTCCTATAACACTGATTTTATTCCACTGTAAATAAAGGTTCTGGAGGCTGACTAGCCTTGGAAAAAGAGCCAAGTTAAGCTTAGAAAATTGATTGTGCTCCAGGTGAAGCTCTTTCAGCCTGATCATGCCTGCAAAGACATTCCTTGCTAAGCTTCGGATTCTGTTGTAGCCCAGGTCTAAGAGTTCGAGGTTCCTACAGTCCTGGAAAATTCGGACAGGGATTGTTCTCAGGGAATTGGACCGCAAATGTAAACTCAGCAGCTTCCTTAAGCCCCTGAATTGTTCAGCTCCCAGAGACTGCAGCTGATTATATGACAGATCCAAGTTCCGGAGATTTGTTACTGGTCTGAAGGTGTTATTAAGAAAATAGGCAATTCTGTTGGAACTTAAAATCAACTCTTTTAGCCTGCGTATTCCATTGAAAGCATTTTCATCAATATTGCTGATGTGGTTATGGTCTAGATAGAGCCAGGTGAGTTGATTAAGACCTTTAAACTGATTGTATTTTAGTTTCTGGAGGCTGTTGTATCGGAGGGACAAACCTAAACAACCAGCTGATATACTTGAGGGTATCTCCTGTAATTTCTGGGACTCGCAATATACCATTTTGCCTTCGCACCTACAGCCCTTTGGGCATCCTCGTTCAGCAGAAGAAAGCATTGTCAGTAATACAGTAGGGGCTATTACCAGGGCTACAGCTGATCCGCTCAGTAGCCTAAATACATTGAAACCTGGAAATAAAAATAACTTAGAAAAGTTATCCCCCCAAATAAACAATCCAGATCTATTTCAATCATGCTCAGAATTGCTACTTAAATGCATAAGAAACCCCCAGCAGCATAAGTACTTTGTAGCTTACCCCCACTTTATTTTAATAAAGGAAAATGTAATAAAGAAAAAAAAATCATGCACATAAGCTAGCCACAGTCAAATACAATCTCTTGGAAATTTAACTCTGGTCACATCTTGCAGGGAGGCAAACCTATAGAGCAATTAAAACAGAATCAGTGCAGGCACTGCTGTAGGCTAACTATAAATAAATAAAATGGAAAACCTACCCATCCTTTGTGTTTTCAAAGGTCGTCGTTAGGTCTTTTGCTTTTGCTTAGGGTGCCACAAGCATGACAGCCCCTGTCAGCTGCTCTGTGGTGAGTCAGGGCTTGCTGACACCCAGGAAGAAAAATTGGACCCCTTGGGAGATGGACCGATTTTGGAACATTATTCTTTGCCAGCCATGCAGAACATCCCAAGAATAAATAAATCCCAACACAGCATTTGCAGCAGAATGTCAAGTTCTTCCTAGGTAATAGGATCTTCATGGATGGTGCGTTTTTGCATCTTTACATTTAGAAACGAGCTGCTTTAAAATCTCCCCGTGCAAAGCATGATAGATTCCTCCAAGTGATGCTCAGCTGTCTGAATTCACCCGTCTGTATTCCATTGGGCAGCAGTTCTCATAGTTAGCACTCCCGATCCGGCTAAGGAAACTGCGTTGGAGCACAGAAGCCAGGATGACCCTGTTCAATGAACAAGCACTGTTCACTTCTGCGTACTGTCATTCTGAAAGCTCCTCCGACTGTTGCTTTGGTTTCAGTGAATGCAGTCTTATGTAAAGCTGCCCCCAGTGGTGAAGAATATTATGGGCATGTGCAGAAATATCTTCCTCCCCCCTCCCCCCCCTTTAAATCTTGCAAATGAGTAAGCCCTGTGCTGGGAAATGAGTGATTGTTCTGGGTGACTAAATAGGAGCAGACTGGTCAGCCTCAGTATACACTAGTGAAATGGTTGGAAATTTCCCTGGGCTTTTAGCTTTTCATTGTCATCTTTCTCTTTTGGGTAATTTAACTAAGCCTTTTAAGCCCAGCATTTGCTGCTGGGACTTCCACCTAACATAAAGCTTGGATGTAACATTTCTTTTCATTTAGGCAAGAAAACAGCGCACACACAAGCCCATACTCACAGAAACCTGCGTATATACACAATGGGTGTAATTGAACACCACAGGCATTACATTGTCATGTAAAACACACTAATCCTCGCTATTACCACTGGTATACAGATGGTAAGTACTATGAGTAATCAGGCAGAAAAACTTAACAGGTCTAATACCAGTGCAGTTAACTCTTTTGGGTGGGTGTATGAGGAGGCATGTCTGTATACTGACTGGCATACTACAATGCATATTCCCTGATCCACCACATCTATGGAAGGCACATAAACCCCATTTGAGACTCTGAGATCTACCTCTGAAACCCCACACTGTCTGAAGATGGCAAGTGGACCCGAGGTATAGTTGGCCCAATGGCAGGGTGGCTTAGACACATCCCTTTCAGTGGGTGCTTTATGATGCTGCCTTTTAAGGTGGGCTTGATTGTCATGTCAACTTTTTAATGTTGTTTCCAATTAATTTTTCCTTTTCCATGTTTGTTATGCTTTTAAAAATGTACTTTTTTGTTACGTTGTTGTTTGCTGCCTCTGTCATTTTCATGGAAAGGTGGGTATAAATTGTTATAAATAAGGATAGTTAATAATAATATATACGCTCTGCAGTTAGTGAAGTAATGCTGTGCACGTTCTTGATAGCCTTCCCATCTCCCTAGATTTCGCCAGCTTAGAAGTAGGAGACACTGAAGTGTGGGTTTGCAAGAGTTGAGATCCTCTTTGAACACCCTACCCTCTAATTTGAGTGAGAAACAGGGGTCCCCCGCAACCCCCAAATGTCTGTCTTGTGTCCATAGATCAAGTGGGACACCTCAGAGGAAATTGCCAACTGTACAGCAAAATGGAAGCACATTGATTCTATGCAGTTTAAGACTCCTCTGCATTTGCATCTGTGTTGCCTTCTTTGCTGTTTCCCACATAGGAAACATGTGAGTTTCCATTCAGTGCTGCAGCCATCAGGTGATGGACATCCATGTATTGAATGTTCTTACTTGTAGACAGTCAGTGATGTTCTTCATTCGGCAGTCTACCATTTATCTTGATATTTCCCACATGGTACAGAGAAGCTAGAGGGGAAAAGGATGGTGACAGATTCTGAATACGAATTATTTTACCAGTATTGTAATTCCTGTTTCCTGTTTGAGAAGCCATGCACAGTTTTTCAATTACCCTGTATTCTGCCTTCCTTCCAGGGCCTAACTACACATGACATGAATGGTGTGATTAGTAGTCATGTCAAGGCTTTTCAAAAATTAAATATCAGGGGTGGGTGGCAGTGTTGTGCTCAGGAACATAGTGTTCAGTAAGGGAAGGCTAGGTCTTATATGCTTATTCGGCATATTTAAGATACAGCATTTCAACAAGTATATAGGATTTCTATGGAAGGTGAAAATGGAGCTTTGATACCCCCCAACTTCTCTCTCTCTCTCTCAATATACAGCACAATGATTGGGTCACTTTGCTCCACAACTTGCTCTTGTTGCTTCAAATCCTTAAGAATTTGAAGCTTAAAACATTCATTGAAAGCAAAAGAACCAAAAGCCTTGAAAGCACAGCACTCAAAACAGACTTGACCTGGAAGTCGGCCCAGGCAATTTTGGTTCGGAAGTTTTGAGTACACATACAAGTACCTTTGCGTATTTCTATTACATAATCCAATTCTCTATATATACCTAGTCAGCCTTCTGCTCCTTTTTTTGCTGCCTTCCGCTCTAAATATATGATTAAGAAAATATTGCACCTTGTCCACAGAAGCGTAAAGGCAGGGACCTTTCTCTTTTGCATATAAAGCTCTCTATAAAGTTCTGTGTGCATTGATGTCGTGGTGGAGCATGCTGTCATAGCACCTGGGGTTGTAGTGGACAGTGTGACTGCACTCAGAATACTGTGTAAAGTTTTGATCACCTCACCTCAAAGAAGTTGTTGTGTTTTAATGATGTAACCCACCCAGGGTCCTTATAGTGATGGCCGGATTAACAACAACAACAACAACAACAACAGTCTTGTAAAGCTGGAAAAGATTTGGAAAAGGCCAATGAAAATTATCAAGAGGATGGAGCAACTCCACTATGAGGAAAAGCTACATTTTATTTTTTACTTTAGAGAAAAGCTGAGTAAGAGAGAACATGATAGAGGTTTATAAAATTATGCAATGAGTGAAGGAAGGATAATCTTTTTGCTCCCTCTTTCATCATACTCATGGACATCCAATAAACTGAATGCTGGAAGATTCAGGACAGATAAAAGAAAGTTCATTCTCACGTGACACATTGCGTTTGCTCCCTGAGGATATAGTGATGCCCCCCAACTTGGATGACTTTAAATCAGGCTTGTACAAATTCATGAAGAATAAGGTGATCAGTGACTGCTAAACATGTTGGCTATATTCTCCCTCCACTTTGGGGGGTAGTATGCATTTAAATACAATTTGCTGGGAATGGCTGGTGGGGAGGGTGCTGTTGTGCACAGGTTAGGTTTGTGATAACTCCACTATCAGTAATCACTTGTGTTTCACAAATTTTGTATTTTGAGGGAAGTCATAATGATTTTAACTGGGACATACACACACACAAAATATTATACACATAACTAGGAAGTCACACAGATAAACTGGAAAAGTAGATGTACATATTTTATGATTACAAACTTAGTGCAATTTGCACTTCATCTTTGGGTTTTGAGGTGAATGTGAAGTTTTCTTAAGCAGAGCATCTGAGGAAGGCTAATGAAATTTTCAGTGGGAATACCATTTTATGTTGGCTAATCTCTTTCAAGTAGATGATAAACCCCACCAAGTTTTTGTTTTTTTAAATTACACCTGTACTGGATAGGCAACTCATTCAGATAAGAAGTTTGGCAAGTGCCTTTCGTATTTTCATTCCTGCCCTTCCATAGTTCTTTGACCTAGATGGTCCAATATTTTATTTCATCTGTCTTTTAACAAGGCCCTCTGATTTCTACATGTTTGTATTTTTGCTTGGGGAATTCTTACCTTGTATTTTCATCCCAACCTTTAGAAATTTGTTTTCACTGCTACTGCAAGGCAATGTTGTGTTTTTCATACCGTTAAGGGACATCTGAATTCCCAGGTCAAGCCCTGGCTTATGTCACAATTCATGGAGTAGCTTGTGCTAAGAATTCACATAAGGATTCACCTCAAGAACCCTTAACAAGAATCTGGGATGTCAGTGACAGAATTCAGAATGCAACCCCCCCCCCCAAGCAATGCACGCATAAATACATGTATATGTGCGTACAGAATGCTAAACAAATCAACTTCAAGCCCAAGGATTATGAAGCTGGCTTGTTTAAATAACCGGAATTTGTTTTAAATCACAATCTCTGGTTTGTATGATGTTCACTTGAACCCCTTCCTGTTTGTGCACATACAGCGAAATTGCCTTGGTTCCCACTATCAGGGCTTATCCACACTTCCTCTTGTCCCACTGCTCTTTGCCAGTGTGGTGTAGTGGTTAAGAGCGGTAGTCTCCTAATCTGGGGAACCGGGTTCGCGTCTCCGCTCCTCCACATGCAGCTGCTGGGTGACCTTGGGCCAGTCACACTTCTTTGAAGTCTCTCAGCCCCACTCACCTCACAGAGTGTTTGTTGTGGGGGAGGAAGGGAAAGGAGAATGTTAGCCGCTTTGAGACTCCTTAAAGGGAGTGAAAGGCGGGATATCAAATCCAAACTCTTCTTCTTCTTCTTCTCTTTAGTGCTTTCTAGGCAAAGGACAAGTGGAAATGTGGATGAATGCTCACACACAGAATTTGAACTTGAAAACATCTGGAGGCTTTATTCAAGAAATCGGTAGATGATCAAGGCATAATTACAGGGCACAGGGCACATAAATGGAGTTCTCACATGACCATGCAAAAGCTAAGCTCTCCCAACACCTGGTGTGTCCCTCCTGCTCTTATTTTTTTGCAGCAGGTGAAGGCTGTCACTCACATGAATCACACCCACGTTATATAAACAAACGTCTGCCTGTAAGCTCTGCCAGAATGGCTCGGTCTGTGTGTGCTGGCACATTTGACACCACGTCTTTGGAAACAGAAACTTGTCTAGCTCCTCTGTTCCAATCTTGGTCTCGGGCTCAGCCAGCCCTTCTGATTGATCAGCTCCTTGGCAGGGTCTATACTGGCTTCAGCTCTTCTCTGCCTTGGGAGTATTTGTCAGGGGTGGCAGCAATGACTTCTCAGGGCTGTGAAGATTTGGGTCTGGGCTTGAGTAGCTCCATGAAAGACACTTTGCCATTCTAGGCAGCTAGCAAACACTATGGGTGTGTTTGAAGAGTATGCCTGTGAGGTTGAGCAATCAAAAGATACCAAATTTAGTACAAACTTTTCTTGTCTTGTTTAGCATATTTAGAATTTTCCATTAGCTGCTGCTAAGAAAAGCCTGTTATTTTAATCTGTAAGCTAATGGAAGGGTTCTGCATCAAAAATGTGTACGATCAGCATTTCATGCTGTGGTTAATGGAGAAAACATGGAACTGATCATGGGAACCATTGAAGCTTTTTAGGAATGTGTATATAAGAGATAGCTTTGAATGCAGTACAGTGGTGCCCCGCAAGACGAATGCCTCGCAAGACGGAAAAACCGCTAGACGAAAGGGTTTTCCGTTTTGAAGTTGCTTCGCA